TTTGCACAGAAACATAAACACTTACCAAATTTATCAAAACCCTAAAAATAAAGTTAAATAACTTGCTAATTATGCAAATATATGATCTAAAAATGATATGACATAATTATCAAGAGATAAGGTTTTATATAGTCAAGTTAAGGATATAAATTAATTAGTAAGTTTTTGAGTTATAAGCCAAGTCCTTAGGTATAGAAATATTTTTGTCACCCACCTGTATTATTATAGTTTTATCTATTATTTTTAAGTGTATAGTTTTTCCCAATTCCATTTTCATAGCAGTAACCGACTTTTCTTTGAATTGTGTAAATATTTTAATCAAGTATACTAAAATAGCAGTTGATTGTGGCTTTATAGCTTATTTTATGCAAGAGCATATATATTCACAAATCGCGTAAACGTTCAAAAAGAGCGTATACGCTCCAAAGCAGAGTGTATACATCCAAAACAAGAGCATAAATGCTCACACAAAATAAAATGTATATAGGTGCCTAGAATTCAATAAAGGATGATAATTAACTACTCATCTTGTCCACCTTCAATTTCTAATAACTAATAAAGAATATATACTTATCTGAATTTTACCTTGTGTATTGTCTTTTGAATTTGACTTGTAACTTTAATAAACCCTTTGGAGACTCAATTCGATGGACTAAATTGACTTGTAACTTCGATTTGGCTTATTAAGACTCGAATTCTATAATAGTTGTGGAATCAGATATTGCTATTCACATTAGTGACTTGCAGGAATTGTGGTAGAGAATGACATTTATAACTAGTTATTCAACTCTAGTAATCCATCACAGTCCTTGAGATCACTACTTTGTTATCACCCTTAATGGCATCACCCATTATTGTATCGTCTATATCACTGCTCGTTGATATCAAAGTATTTCTCTACAGTACCATATCACCCTACTAGTTCCTTAACACTTATAAAAGACCCATCTCACTTACCCAGAGTTAGACTTATTATCTATACACTGTTGGAGTTAGATTAATATCATTTCTGTATTATTTTATTAGCTCTCCCATTCAACGATTACAGTAGAGGAGGGTTTTCCGTAGTGTATAAAACATTATATGAAATATATGAAGAAGTTGCAATCAAGATAATAAAAGATTCACATAAAAATAATAAACTTTTTCTAAATAAGATATGATATTTTTTTATGCATGTAAATTTATATTATTGTTTATAAATTAATTGTATATAAATTGTCTATTTTTAGTTAAAGACTTATCACGAATTTGGTAAATACCATGATATATCAATAGATAAAAATATCAGAGATTTTATTTTGGTAACAAGTTCGCAAATTTGGGTATATTTAAATTAGAGTAGAAAATTAAATTAAAAATTTTATACAATATTATTCAGGATTTATCAAATATTCATTTTAAAAATTTTATACATCGAGATTTACATTCAGGTAATATTTTGTTAAAAGAACAATATAAAGCTTATATTGGTTTAGGTTTATCAATATCAGTTGACGAAAAACAGTATAGTCATATTTATGGTGTTTTGCTATATTTAGCACTTGAAGTCTTAAAAGGAGAACAATTCACTCAGGCAGCTGATATTTACAGTTTTGGGATTATTATGATAGAAATATTAACTAGATGAAGATCTTTCGATGGTTACAATTTTGGTACTAAATTAATAGCGATGATTTGTCACAGATTACGACCTGAATTTTTTATAAAAACACCAAAATGTTATGTTAAATTAACCAAAAAATGTATTAATTCAGATATGAAAAACAGACCGTCAGCTGTTGAGATTATTGATAAACTTGAAAAATAGAAAAATATTATAGTTGCTCACGATAATAATGCTAAATCAGATATGAAAAAAAGAATTAAAACTGTTGAGATTTTTAATAAATTCAAAAAATGGAAAAATATTATAGTTGATAATGATAGTAACATTAAATTAGACAAACAATTCATTGATTCAGATGATTCAGATATGATTGAGAAATTTTTTTTACAAAATGACAATTTAGTCTCGATTGTAACTTTGCAGAAACTTGTTTTTTGCTAAATATATTTATAATATAGCTATTATATATTCACTAGATAGTATGGGTATGGTGACGTAGAGTAGTTGTTAAGTTGTCACCCCCAAGTGGTAGGTCTAGAGTTCAATTCCCACCAGAGACGTTTTTCAAAAAATAGGCCTGTGTTCTAGTAACATTTATTCAATGATCGGTTGGGTATATCACCTGTAATCTTAGTACTACCATCTTGAAATAGAAGCTTTAGAGTGATCTAAATTCAAGGAACCAGAATATTTGAAACCCTTTTGGCAAAACCCGAGTTAGGAGTAGTGAAGATCTTTGA